GCTGCTGCTGCTGTTCTTGTTGCAGGTTCCCGTTGGTTGCCATCCGACGTTCCGCAACCCTCCTCCCTCTCTCCTTTTCCATTTACCCCTTTCTCGTAGCGCGAAGTGGCGGGGGAGGTGGCGGGGGAGGTGGCGGGGGAGGTGGGGCCCCCCGAGGGATCCTGAGGAGGTCCGGGTGGTGGAGGAGGAGGGCTGTGGCGGTGGCGATGTTGGTGTTGATGCTGATGTTGAGGAAGAGGAGGTGAGGCATCCTGCGTTCCCGAAGCAGCAGCAGCTGCTGCGGCTGCTGCGGCAGCAGCTTGCCGCCGCGCTTGTCGCGCCTGCGGGCGGAGCAAGGCCGTGCGTAGTTGTGTACGGATACGGGCACCGTCATCATCGTACAACATTGGACTCGTCAGCTGGGTTCTGAAGCGCACGGCATGTACGGAATGTGAGGTGGATCGAAAGGAGGAGGTAGGGGGAGGTAAGGTCGGAGGGAAAACCCCCACGATGAGGCCTGAAGTGAAGTGAGGTGAGGAGGTATGGGAATGAGATGAAAACACACACACACATACAGACAGACACACACACAGACACACACACGCAGACAGAGAAGCACACAGACACACACACACACACTCCCTCTCCCTTCTCCCCAGCCAGCACATGTGCGTGTGATAATGTTCTTCGGGGGGACATCAGTCGGAAGGGAGGATCGGAATGAAAGGCACCAAGTGCTGTTGATGGTGGTGGTGAGGTCAGGGATAAGGTCCAACCTAACTGTAACACCTTTCAACTGCAGTCACACTCTCCTATCCTTTTGAAACCAACATAACGGCCGGCAGGCAGGGAGGGTGCCCCGGGGAGGGTGCCCCGGAAAATTGTCCGTACCAACGACACGTCGTTCCCATACACGGACATCATCTGCACCGCGAACCGTCAAAGCAAACCAGCAAGCAGCATAATCAGTAATCAGGAACCCGCCTGCGCCGCAGCCGCTTTCTTCGCGTGCTCCGCCACTCGTCGCGCCTCTGTCGCCAGCCGTCGGGCCCTTTCAGCTTCCCGGTGTGCAGCCTGCGTGTATTGTGTGTGTGTGTGTTTTAGGGTCTGTTTGGGGACTGTTCGTCTGTATGTCCACGATGGGGTGTATGGAGGTTCCCGGGGGGCGGCAGTTGGTTGATCAGCGGCATTTCGTTAGCCGGCCCGGTAGGAGGTTACCATCAGTGCCCATCAGCGAACTCCTTCACTGCACTCACCTGAAGCTTCTCCAGCGCTGCGACCCTCTCCGCCTCCACCACCTCCGCGTTCCCTGGGGCACCGCCGCCGCCGCCGCCACCGCCGCCACCGCCGCCGCCCCCGTCAGCCGAGGAACGGAGCCCCTGGAGCGACACCGGCCGCCGCCGCCACCGTACAAAAAAGCATTTGTCATTTGAAAATCGCACACGCATCACTGATATTCTTATCCTGTTGTCACGAGGATTGATAGCTACGGGAGTAAACCAGCAGTAGCAATAGCACCGATAGGCGCAACACCTACCCGCAGTAGCAACAGCTGCGGTGAACGGGGCATCATTCATAGCCTTATAGGCTATTGCACACTGGGAAGTCGGTTTGCCGGAAGGGCCAGATATGGACCGACAGCAAACAAGACGGGCGCATGCGGCTTCAGAACAGGTTGGGTTGGGTTGGGTTGGGGTCAATCCGAAGTGGCCTTCCTCCCTGTTCCATTTAGCTCGCCGCTGCAGCGCCACTCGTCCTTTCAGCTCCAGCTTCCAGGATGAGCATCGATACATGCAATCCCTACCCGCCCCGGCCTTCTCGCTCATCCACCTTCTCGTACTTCCACAGGTAGTCGTACTTCCCACGTTTTTCCATGTCGGACAGTACGGCATATGCCTCATTGATCTCCGCAAACACTTCCTCAGCTTCCTCCTGCCGCAAATAGACAGACAGACATACAGGCGATTAACTCAGCAGCCGTACAGGTGCACAACAACCAAATGCCCAGCAGTCAACAAAGCCGTGCGGCCTGTACCCCACGTTGCAGGAATATGATTAGGGGCGATCCAAAGGCACCGCAGCCAACAACACCGGTGTATCACCACGACTCTCCCACTTAGCCCTCTCAGCCCTCTCGGCTTACTTCCTGGCTCACGTCGGGATGCAGACTCTTAGCCAGGGATCTGGAGGGTACGGCGTGAGTGAGTACCCACGTGGCATCAACGGAACGGTTGTCTGTTAGTCGACGTCCGGTTTAGCGGCTTACTTGGTTACATGGCGGGTTGTGTCGGCTGCTGCAAACTGGCAAAATGCCGCTTTCGCATGACGTCACGGGCTCTGCCGGGCAGCCCTTCAGAGCTGTGTTTCCATAAACTGTGCAAGCTGGCCGAGACATTATATGGCGACGTCGGATTTCGCGTCAAAGAACGGTAGGGTGAGGGTGAAGGTCGTCGCAGCTTGAACTTTTGTAAACGGCCAGAAAAGCACGGGGTCGGCGGCACGCACCAGCCACCAAACGCACCAATACTAACCTGTAAGCGGATTTAATCTCCTCCGTAGTCGCAGCAGGACTGACTCCAAGAACTTCATAATAGCTCTCTGCGAAGGTGAAAACACGACGCAAACGAGTCTGCTTCGGACATGGAAGCTAAATGTAAGACATTTTCCGCGCCGGAACCGCAACATAAGCAATCAGCCCTTACTTTTCCTACTAATTGCTTTACAATAAACAGCGCGATGCGACGCGAATCCCGGCGCGTTACAGTTGTGGCTTGACTTGGCAGGCTGGGGCAATCTACGCAAGTGTAACATTGCAACGGAAAATTTTACTTCATATGATTTGTGCCCAAATGAAATCTTTGAGCGCATTGATGGAATGCCATGCGGTCGTGCACCGATGCCATGCTGCGCTGCTTATTTACAACTCATTTTTTGAACGAATCACCTGACAGGTCGACAGACAGCACTAATTCCTGGTGCCGTAGAACGCAGACATCTATTCACGAAGATGCGAGAACATTTGTTGTATGCATGATGCGGCTTGCTGCTAAGCGCTTCCCAGTCTTCCTAAGTTAGCCTTGGTGGGTCACTGAAGATCTAACCTATGGTATGGGATAATTATTAGCAGCCCATCGCGTGAATGCAGTGAAGGTTCAAGGGTGAGCCCTCAATTTGCTTACGGATGTCGCCGGTGACAGGATACGGCCGTAATCATTACGGTACACACCGGTGCAAATAAGTTATAGTTCCGGTTGTTGTCATAATTTTTTTACGTAATGGCCATTGACCATTTGCAATGTGTTCTAGATAGCCACCCGATTTGCCGTGAGGCAGCTGCAGCTTGCCAGTTCGATCGTGTTCGATAGTCTTCGATACTAGAGGGTAGGACAAACTGTCGGGCAGAGCAATTCTTTTGACTGCCCCGGTCGCACAATTCCCGTGCTTCCCTAATTCGTCACCCTGAACACGCTAATTCTGACTGTCCGAATGTCCCTGCCAGGCCAATTCGACACCCTGTCAGCCTAATTCTGACTGTCGGAATGTCCCTGCCAGGCCAATTCATATCCCTGTCAGGCCAATCCAAGGGCCTGTCCCGGCAATTCAACTTGTCCCAGGTGTCAATTTAAACCCTTCTACCTGCTTGCCTCCGGTAGTAGTAGTAGTGCCAGAGTACGGTAACCAGGTGTGCAAGTTTTCCCACTCCATGTCGTGGGATCGAAAAGAGGGGGGTCCTTGTGAAGCAGCTGCCCGCGTTTCTAAAGCCTGTATGTTGTTGGATAGTAAGTTGCAGAATGGGGCCAGGCTGGAGAGGCAAGTGCAGTGGCATAATGGAATGTAGATGAGTAGAAGCTGTTTCCAGGGCGCTTGGCGCACGGCACAATGTACATGCAGTCATGTCGTCGCAAGCGCGTATGCAAGAACAACAGGAACAACAACCAGAAGAACAAGAACAGCACCACAGGAACAGCGCGTTCACAGGCCACGTTGCGTCGGTCCTTTGCTATGATGTAGGAACGAAGAATAAGGCCTAGGTTCAAGTTTCCTGTTGCGCGTGGATGGCCATGCCAGAACAGGCAACATGATGGGTGAACTCGCACGCTACCAACTTGCCCCCGAGCACGCGACGAGCGGACATAGAAAAGAGCGCAGCGGGCCCCCCCCTTTCCCCCAACGCTCACGCAATAGACCATCCCAAGCGCTGCTGTCCGTATGGGCCGCAGCCGCCGTTCACACACGAGTTAAGTCCGACATGTATGCACCGTGAACATGTATGCACCGTGAATGAAACCCTAAGTGTGATCGTGCCCAAATACAACAGCACTGCCCAATGTCCAGAAGCCTAGCGCCGAAATCGTGGGACCCTGTCCGTCAAGCGTTAGGTGTCCAGTTGCTGTGTGGGCTAGGCGAGCGTGGCTGGGGCGTCATCGTCTTGGACTGTCACGGCGGTGGGCGTGTGGGCGCTGCCGGCGCGTTGCCGGCTCATCGCGTAGAAGACCGGGCTGGCGGAAGGCGGCCCGCGCAGCACATTGTAGCCGCCCGGCCCCCGGGCCTTGAACTGCGCGATGTAGAGGGCCTCCATCTTTTGGGCTAGAGCAGGATTGGCGGTGCGCAAAGCGTATGATGGTCGACCCCGCCGGCTAAAGCTACACGTCCCCAACTGAAGATATTCTCGGTGGTTTACCAGCAGGTGTTGTGCTTCTTGCTGTCTGATGTCCTGAACGCTTCCTCTTCCCGCAGCCGTTTCAAGCGCCCAGTCTTGCAAGCTACGTTGTATGCTTTCATATCTTTTCATATCTTATTCAGCTCAGGCTAAGCAGCCAGCCAAAAGTCCGAGATGCATACCGCTTGTGACTGCGGCCAACATGCCCTGACGAGCGGCCTTTCGCCGAAAAAATTACATACACTTTTACAGGCGCATTTTGCGAATCCCACGCGCGCATCCGCGCGGTGAATTTCGCTCCTGGCTTTTTTGGACGATGTACGAACGGTTTATTCGCGAAGTACGACCGGACACATTTGTGCGAGAGGCTGCTTAACTAATACGCACATGAGGCACTTGTAAGCGGTCCTCTTGCAAAGTTTTCTGTAAATTCCTTAAAAGTCATGTGCTTTTGGATGCCAGCCCGAGCCAATCCTGCCAACTTGACAGCCAATTCGACACCCTGAACACGCTAATTCGATACCCTGTCAGGCCAATTTGACACCCCGAACAGGTCAATTCGATACCCTGTCAGGCTAATTCAATACCCTGTTAGGCCAATTCGGCACCCGGACAGGCCAATTCGACACCCTGTCAGGCCAATTCAGGCCCAGCACAGCCCAATTCCGAGGCTCCACAGCGCAATTCGAATACCTCCGGCGAGTCCGCCAGAACAATTCCAGACCTCGGCAGACCAATTCTTTTGTCAGGAATAAAATCCAGGCTAATTCTGCGACAGAGCTCCTCCCTAATTCCAGCCCGGATCCTACCCTCCTTCGATACGTGCTTACCCAAAGCCCAATGCCCGTAGCCCGTTAGTAATTGTTATTTATGCATCGAGGATAATGATAATGGTAGTAAATCTGCCACTTAGGATTTGCAATCTGTTGCTAGAGATCTGTAGCAAGTCTAAATCAGGTTATTGCCTGATGCGAGTGGAACCTGGTAGCCCCTAGCTTGGGTGCTGCCATCACCAATCCATCCGGAGCTTGGCTTGCTCCCAACCCAAGCCAAGTACTGGCTGATCCACCAACGACCCGCTAACGACCTACTAGCCGACTAACCGTCGAGCCGTCGAACCGTCAAACCGTCGAATAAAAAATGGAAATCGGACAAACCACCGAACCGCTGACACGCCCTGAAGCCACAGGACCGCAAAGGACCCGACGCCTCAGCTGCGAAGCCCAAAGGGCTCAGGGCTCGCACCTCTAGCATCAAGGCTGTGCGTTGTCATAACCTGTCAGAATTGGAACTGTACACGGAAGATGGGCCCCTAGCACAAGGGCGTGCCCCAGGATGAGCGTAAGGCTGCTCTTCCCTTGCACCCGCACAAGGACCCCGACCACATCCCAGTCACCAAGACATGCTTCGAATGAAACTGCATCACCCACAGAGCTTCTCATCCCATCTTGGCGGCAAGCTATATTGGATATTCGGTCATGTACGGGAAAAGCTATCGAAAGGTTCCCCACGGAAGATGAGGCCCCACTACTCCAGCCGGCCACTACTCCAGTTGACCTGAAACCCTGGTTATCAGGCCGGTTTGGACAGGCGGTGGGGTGATGGTGACAGCGGCCGGGGCTGAGTCCCGCGCGGCCAACAGCAGCGAGGTCAACCCACCCCGGCTTGCCGTGCAGCTGCCCGTCGGTGACTGGCGTAGTGCCTTCCATTCTCGCTCCCCACGTTGTGGCGTATGGGGAGCTGTCCCGTACAGTACAGTGTAGAGATATAGCCGCCGTCAACGAGGAAAGCGGACCGACGACAACTGCCGGCAATCGAATGCAGAGTCATTAAGCCACAATAACACCGTCGTGATGACTTATATATGCCTCATATACGTTATGTGGCCGCCGGGTGCTGTCACCTAGTCCACATGCATCGCAGTGCGTGACGACCCAGCTGGCATGATAAATGGCGGTTGGGATCGGCTTGCTTATGGCGGTTGGGATTTGTTTAGAGTCTACTGAGTGGTGGTGCAGATCGTGCGCCGTGCAAAGCAGCGTCACAAACTCGCGTCAATGTCAATTTATCCACCTTCCCCCCTGCTACTCTATATCCGCAGCGGGTAGGCCTCGCGTACTTTCTTCCGTTTCGGAGGTTGGGAAGTGGAAGACGGGGGGTCGCGTCCTCGCCGGCGCCGGAACTTAAATATGATAGACCATTTCAACGGGGTACTCAGTTGATTGCTCTTGTTAATAGCTATCCTGATATAAAGTAACGTTTCTGCTCTCGCTTCTGGGCCAAGAGCAGCCCGCCGTTCAGGGCTCAATTGGCAAGCCTTCCCTGCCTCTCCCTTGCGATGTGTCTCAGGTCTTCAGCTACTTTCAGCTTGCACGTTGGTGAGCACTTTGTAAGTCAGGGTCCCCAAGGAGTTCAGCTGCAGTCTCTTGCCGTCCTTGCGTCCAACACTTGCGTTCAGACGCTGAGGAGCTTATGGCGGCCTTCTGGTGGTTCTAGATACCTGAAACTGGTGCGCAGGGTCGTTCATTAGTTGTCCTGCGTTCGTCCGCCTCGCCCATCTGCGAATCTCGTGGTAGTTTGAGGTCGTTGTTATATCATAGAACCTACTAAGGCTGGGCGGTTGCAGAGCGGTCAGGATGCGAAGGAGCGGTCGGGCGCAGGATACGGATGGTGTGTGTGTGTGTGTTACATGGTTGGGGGGTGCGTGACCCCATACCTGTAAGACTACCCATACGAGCCGAAGGCCCAAGGCTACAACGCCTAAAAGCCACGGAGAAAAGGAAAAACACCGCACATCAGCCCAGATTAGCGTCCAAAGGGGGTAATTGAGTTTCGGTGAGCCCACATACGTTCCAACATCCTCGCCAGACGTGCGGGTTCCCATTGCATGGCCTCCAACATACTCTGTTGATGATCGAATCCCTCTTCAGCACGAATATCATTATAGGCTGGGCATTCCAATAACACGTGTTTTTCATCCTCAATTCGGCGGATACGGATGGGAAAGAGTAGGATAGAAATGTTGACCCCCCAGGGTAAGGATGGCGGACAGAGGACCCAGGATGGTGGCATATTTGGAAGGTTCGACGCCAGCCCACCAAGGATGAGGATGGCGGCGGTGAGGGGATGCAGTCACCAGGACGCGGCTGTTGGGTGTGTCGCTCGAGGATACGAAAAAGGGGAGTGTGTAGGATGCATCCAATTGTAGGTTTTCTGATTTAAAATGCTAAAAGCTAAGGTTTTCTGTGTGTTTGCCGAGAGCGAACTCGGTTGAATGTCGTTGGTGCGTACGGCTGTGCCGTACAGGGCTAGAGTAAGTCGCAGGAGTGCGACGGAAAGAGTAATTTCGCGAGTTCATAGCGTCAGTACTGACAGGTGTCCGCTGCGGCTTCCGCCCTAATCTACAGCGCACAGAAGCAGAGTCGCACTCGGTAACCAGCAGGCTTCCTCGCCTCCTCCCACGGAAGCGAGCACATCTTTTCCCTGCACTCAGGTACCTCTCCGCCTGGACGGCAGCTCTAAGCGGTGAGGCAACTACTCTCGAAAACCTGCAAGATGCGTGCCCGACAACCCCCCTTGTCACCGCCCTGTCACCCCCGCCCTGTCACACCCCTTGTCACCGCCCTGTAATGCAAATCTACCTCTCTTTTTACTGGGGGCCACATGCCGCCGTAATGCTCTGTAGCAATTACATTTCAATACCTACTGTCTGCATTACGCAGGACGGAATATGTTGCCGCACTGCAACCGTACGAGTGCAGGTAGGGTTTGCCCCAGCCGCGCTCGTTGAGGCACGCACGTAGCAGCGCAAAAGCTCCAGCAGCAGCAGCACAGAGGTCACCGGGCGCAGCAGGTCGCCACCTTGCGTGATCTGCAGCTGCGCAGTTGTCGTTCATCTACGGGGGGATCTACCCCGGGGGACGGAGAGTCGTTATAAGGACTCTCGGATGCGGGCGTGAGGAGAGGGGGAGTGGGGCCTGCGCAGTTGGCATTTCCGTACACTTGCTTCAAAGGCAACCAACATGTTGGTTGCCTGGGAGGAAGGCACCTGCGAGGCCAAATGCGAGGTTGCAGCCCAGTGCAAGATTTTAGCAGGTATAATAAATGTATGCCGCTCTTGCATCGTGCAAGGCTGTAGTCTGATCCCTTAACACCCTTTACCTAAGCCAAAGCAGCTTCGTGGCCGTCAAGTCGAACCAACCTAGGGACGGCCCAAAGTTGCAAGCTAAACAACAAAAATGAGAAAAAATAAGTGAAGAAGTAAGAATTTATAGAAAACTGCGAAATGAAGCTCGTCGTGGTTTTCTTGTCTGCCTCGGCCTGGGTCAAGAGCCCATCCAATCCTATCCAGCTGTACGAAAAACCAGTTGAATGCAGGAAATTACCAAATGCATATATAGCTGCTATCAGCACCTTTGCCGTTATCTTTTGGGCGGGCAAGTAATCCTGCCAAATCTGTTGGCTGCCCGGCCGATTCGTCTGCTGTTCCTCTCCGCGCATCCTTCGAGCTAGCGTCACGTTGCGTGGCTTAAAGTTATATCAAGCTGTCCTGACTGAAATAACCGCAGGTTGTGGGCTGCGGCACGCATTACGCAGGTTGGGCGCCTCAAAAGCCGGGCAGTACATCGGCCTTTTTTTGAGCGCAGAGCGTTTGGTAAGACATTCTTGAATTTACCAGCTAATCCGTGCTTCCTTCTTTCTTCTGTGTGCGCCGCTTCTGCTCACGATCTGAATCGTTAGGTCCCTTGCTCGGCTTATGCTTTTGCCTTTGTTACGGCTTGCAATAAGCACTTTTGAATAAGAATCGTATCATTATTTAATTTAAAAACCAGGCTATAACCCTTGGGAAGGCTTTTGAGCTCAAGGCTTGCATGTTCTATGCACTCACCACTAGTTTGGCACATTCAGGCCACATACAATTTATTTTTAATAAGAGTAAACAAAAATTTACATATATTCGAGGCGCTGGCTTTCTTGTAGCTCTCCCAGCTGACGCCTTCCACTTTTGCGCGCCACGAGCTCGTTGCCATTTCTCATTTTCATGCGCACGCCTTGCAATATTCATCATCTTGAACATTTATTGGCACATAATCCGGGGGCTAGCTGAACGTTTCACTTTGCGGCGTCCGTCCTCGCAGTTGGCTGTCGCCTGCTGTCGCTATAAGCGTCCAAGAGTCTGCTGTTCAAGCGGCTATTGCCTGGCGCTCGTGTATCAGCAGTCAACACCATGAACAGGAACAACGAAGGTGGCAGTAGCGGCAGTGATGCTCGTTGGCCGCTGCACCTGATGGGCTCTCCCTGCTCTCCTCTCATGCACGGTGGCAGGCACCTTGTGCCGCCTGCTGTTGGGTCCTCGTCGGGGCTAATGGCGCAGAGGCGTACTGGCGGACCGCTGACGGCCGCCACGGCTGGGCCCCCGGCGGGCCCCCCAGGCCCTACGCAGCCGCCTCCCTTGCAGTTCCTTCACAACCGCCCCTCCATGCTGCCAAACGCCAACGTTGGGCCCGTGTTGACCGTTGGCGGGGACAGAAGGATGACATCTACTGTTCAGCATTATGGCGACACTCGGCATTTCAGCAACGTACGGCCAGCGGGGGTTCTCCTTGGCAGAGGTGTTGTGGCTCCGTACGGCACGCTCGCCCCCGCTACGGCCGCGGCAATGGCAGTGCCAACCCCCGCCGCGGGTAATGCTCGGACCGCCTCCGCACCCCTAGGCCGTGAAGGCGGCGCCTCTTCACTCCGCCAGCTGGCCCGGCCGACGACGCAGGGCAACCACTACCACTTCCTGCAGTTCAACCAACGCAACCGACACCCGTTACCCCACTCGCAACTTTACCGGATAATGGCACGAACCGATCATGCCTATGTGTGGCTACAGGTGCCTATGCCTCCTCCTCCTGGCCTCCCTCCGGGGATCCAGTCCGGGCGGCTTATCACTACGGGCGGCGGTGTAAGCGCCGTCTTCCCCCCTGGAGCGCGCCTACAATATCTACCTCCGAATCTGCCACGTCGCTTCGTGGGCCCTTCACCACGTCTGCCGTACATGCAACTCCGCCAGGGCCAAATGCCGCCTCCTTCCCTACTGCCGGCGCCGGCAAGCGCAATGTACGGCACGGCGCGTTTGCCTGGACCCCTCCGAATGGACCGCGGTTTTGCGATGCAGTCGCCGGCCGGGCTGCGCGTGACAGCTTCGGTGGCGCCATCGCTACCATTGCCATCGCCACCAGCGGCTGCAGTAGCAGCTCAAAGGCCACATGTGCATGCGCCAGAGCGAAACGGCTCGATTACGGGCCTAGCACCATGGCAGTACGGCTTGTCGAGCGGCAGAAACCTTTGGTCCCAGCCCGGGGACGACCGGCGAGGTGTGCGGGGAAACGGGGGAGGACAAGGTCCGGCCACCTCGTTTTAAGTGTGGGAGTTCAGCGGAGCCCCCGCGCCGACAAATGTAAGTACCTCATGGCTTCGGGGACCCCAGCGACGCTACAGGGGTTGTGTGCGTGTGCGTGTGCGTGTGCTTGTGCATGTGTGTGTGTGTGTGTGTGTGTGTGTGTGTGTGTGTGTGTGTGTGTGTGTGTGTGTGTGTGTGTGTGTGTGTGTGTGTGTGTGTGTGTGTGTGTGTGAGAGAGAGAGAGAGAGAGAGAGAGACATGGTCGTGGGGGTTCGTACCCCGTATCCGCAGACCTCCCAATACGAGCCGAGGCCTCAACGGCAGCCAGATCGCCTATAAGCACCATCCCACTTCGCATTTCCGACAAAGCAAGTGATAAAGCAGGCTAACGATCAAAGGCAACGATAGAGTTGGGGTGAGACCACATACGTTCCAGCATCCTTGCCAGGTGTTTAGGTTCCCACTTCATAGCGTCCTTCATATTGTCAAAGTGTGGGAAATCCATATTAGATCTGATTTCGCTGTAAACCGGACAGTCCAGCAAGACGTGCTTCTTATCTTCAGTATGGCAATCAGTACCGCAGCAGGGGCATACCCGCTTTCCCCTAGGTACATAACGCCGTCCCTTACGCGCTCTGTTCGCCGCCGACACCCAACAGCAAAGCCTAAACTGCATAAGATTACAATGCGCTGAACGTGGGATAAACGTTACGATATGCAGGAGCACCTCCTTCCTGCCCGCTTGCTCCGCCGCCAGACCCATCCAATGCTTATACTTCGCCATGTGGATTCCCGGTTGCTTGCCGTCTGACGGGTACAAGTCTGGCTGGACACGTATGCTTGAACTCCGATACCACACCTTCCGGCAATTGTAGCTTAGATGCGGCAGGAGCAAAGCGAGTATAGCCTCTAAGCTAGGTTATGTACGGCAGCCGTATGGCTTGCTGAGAATTCGAATTTACTATTTCAGCTGACAGCTCCATAGTTCCGGCATTCTGCCTACACTATTGGAGCTTATTATTATTGTTGCTCTCACTTCCCCCCCCCCCCCCGCCCTCAGTGTCCCTCGTTTATAAGCGGCAGGCTCGGCCCAGTTGGAGACCGGTGATTAGGCAGTCCCCTCGGAGCGCCCGACGTGCAGCTGTACAGCGATTACCGCACGGCAAATAAGTGCCTATAGAGTATCGTCGCGCGCTAGGAATGTCGCCTGGCCAGCCCCGCTGGCCAGGGTGTGGTTCGTGCGTCGCTGACGCTTCAGGTTTGCCCTCGGGGCGGGTGACCAGTGGACGCAGTCATTAATGCTGCGTTTAGTTGTCTAGTGCTGTGCGTCAGTTCTTTCGGCCGTGCCGGTGTGGCCGCGCTGGACAGCGCTGCGCGCGCTCAGACCGCGCCGTGTGGCGCTAGACCGCGCTTCGGCGCACACGCGCCCTGGCGCTCCGAGAGCAGCAATTAGTACTCTGCAGTAGTGTAAGGCCCTTGGCAGCCCCGGTTTCGCCTCGCCCTGTCCTATCCGACACCCCGAACGCAACCGTACAGCAAGCCATGAAGGCTATAGGACATAATGACCTATTCATTAGCCATTCACTCGCTCATCTGCCTCACGCAGCCCTTGCGGGGCCTCTTTCCACACGTCGTGCCCCAGAAACATGGAAAACGGACCCCCATTCGGCCCCTTAGAGGGCCTCTACGATCTCCTGTCGCAAAACTTGCTGTACCACAGACCAACGCTGTAAACGGACATGTTTCCACGCAGTCTGCCTGGAAACGTGGTAATGGAAAGGTGGCCGTGACAGATCAGCGAACAGGAGGCGGTGCGCTGGTCGGGCAGCTCCCACAATTTGCCGCATGAACGATACCTGGAGTTGCACCGCCCCATCCTTCAGACATGCCTTGAAGGGCCCCTCTGCAGGGTTATTCGCCCCCTGAGCCTGTCCAAGGCTCCAGCCAACGTAACGGGCCCCACACTTGACAGCGATACAACAGTATTGCTCGTACCTGCGTCGTATCAAAGCACCTCATCCTCACATCCGGGGCGAACAACTTATCCAATTTTGTACTCCGCGCGAACACAGCGGTGTCACATTTCGACACATTTGGCCGCATCCCAAAATCATTCACAGGACATGTCCGCGGCTTTGAGCAGCTCCGCCATGCGTTCCGGTGTCGTTGTCAGGAGGCTAATGTCATCAGCATAGGGGCGGATGGACACTCGCTCATTGCCAACCTTCAGTGCATCCTCCTGCCGTGCCCTGGTGTTAACACTGTCATGCATATCGATGGCATCCGCAAGAGTTTCAATGAAAAGTCCAAACAGCTCGGTTGACAGCGGACAGCCTTCTTTCTGTTTTGACTTAAATTCGCCTGCATTCTTGCCATTCGTCTTGATGACCATTGTAACCTTGTCGTACGCCCGCATCATCGACCGCAGCATGGACCCTTCAACCCCGCTCTCCTGCGAACGGAGCCACATTACCTCCCGCGGCACCTTGCCAAACGCCTTCTGTGCAGGAAGGAGCAAGCACATTGACTACCGCCAAACCTGTTGGATCCACTGAACTGCATTTACCTTACCTATCTCCCATCCATCCATTCTGCCCACAACACGAATTCTCTCATTCCGTTGATGTCCGAATGAACGCCCAAAACGCCCTGCAAAGCATGTACAAACATGCAGCAGCAGTAATCACATCAGCGCATACACCCCGATCCAGCTAGGGCAGTAGTGCACCTTCTGTTACCTTTCCTGATCTGCAGTACATGTGCCATACATTTGCCGTACTGACTCCTCCAGGTGGGACGTGTACCTCCAGATTCCTAAGGGAGGTCGGAAGTAAGGAGTCGCTGAAGAGGGGAAGAACCCACGGCGGAGGGAGCAGAACGCGAGGGAGGAGCTTTCCTGGCTGCCGCAGGAGCCGGCTCCCGGACATCAGTAGTGTAGGTTAGGTGCCGTCGATATGCTATCTTAGATATGAGATCAAGTGGTGTTTGGCCGCAATACCGCAACTGGTTGCTGTGACGCGAGGGAAGGTAGGGGCCCATTAAGCGCGTGTATTGGCACCGGCTTGGTATGTGATCTGATCCACAGGACTCCGCAACGGGAGGCGCTTTTAATCGTACGAGCAGGTGGGACAGCCCTGTTGTGGTATTACACCCGATAGATTAGAGCGACAGTAGCCGCACGTGTGCGCGAGAGAGGTATTTGCGCGGGCAGGGGTCCCACATAGGGGTCCCACATAGGGAAAGGGGGGTTAGCACGATGGTCCCTGGTGTGGGAGGGTTTGGCCTGGCTGTTGAGGCAGGTCCGCCCCAGACTAATAATACGTAGCAGAGCAAAACTTCCACCGGCACCCTGGTGGAAAAAGCTGCTGGTGCTGGTGCTGGTGCTGGTGCTGGTGCTGGTGCTGGTGCTGGTGCTGGTGCTGGTGCTGGTGCTGGTGCTGGTGCTGGTGCTGGTGCTGGTGCTGGTGCTGGTGCTGGTGCTGGTGCTGGTGCTGGTGCTGGTGCTGGTGCTGGTGCTGGTGCTGGTGCTGGTGCTGGTGCTGGTGCTGGTGCTGGTGCTGGTGCTGGTGCTGGTGCTGGTGCTGGTGCTGGTGCTGGTGCTGGTGCTGGTGCTGGTGCTGGTGCTGGTGCTGGTGCTGGTGCTGGTGCTGGTGCTGGTGCTGGTGCTGGTGCTGGTGCTGGTGCTGGTGCTGGTGCTGGTGCTGGTGCTGGTGCTGGTGCTGGTGGGAACGATGGCGATGGGAACCCCTCTGGCTCGGCAAGGTCGGGACGTTGCCGATAATTGTGTGTTTGCGTTTGTCTGTGTTTTGGTAATTGAATTGGCCCGTGAGAAGTACGTACACGTTAAAGAAGTCACATTCAGAACTTTACAAAGACAAGTTGTCCAGCAATGAAATAAAAAAAACAGCTGAGCTTTGGGAGATATAGGTGGGCAGGAAGGCTCCAGCGTGGATAGAAATAGCCGTCGGTACGGTGGCGATAGACTATGTTTGTCTGTCTGTGCGTGCGTCTGTGTGTGTGTGTGTGTTGTGCTGGGCCAGAGTCCTCCGACGCGCACACGAAGAGCGGCGACGTTTTTGATACTTTGGGTGTGCAGGGATACGGCGTTGGGCTAGACGGCATATGTTGGGCTATTTAGCCCTCTGCGCCTCTAAGCATGGCTTCATGGTGCGCACGTGGATGACCGACTCAAGTGGATGTCTGAGTAGCTTATCGTTTGTGAGCATTAGGATCATCTGCTGCAAGGCTCCAATGATAAACAGGTGACTGTAACTTTAAAAACTACTTGGACCAGTACTTGGGAGAGATACACCCGTGCGTCGGGCCTCCTCCATGTCTCCCCCCCCCTTCCTCTGAGTTTACTCAAAACCAGGACAGCAAATTTGGACAGCAACTGCATTTTACTGCACGCCCTTCAACAGTCTGGTTGCACTGATCTGACTAACCGCAACCACCAACCACTAACTTTAAATTCTCAACTTTAGTTGAGGACCAACCCTAATTATACCTAAGTCCCACATTCAAGCCAAGCCAAGCACACCAATACAAAACGTACCAGCGAGGCTTATATATAAATAAAAGACGGGACGACACAGGTCTTGCCACGAAACTTACAAGACGGGACGACACAGGCAAGGCAGGGCACTAACCCTGGAAGGTGCTTCAGCTCGGGCTTCAGCCAGGCACGATCGCGTTTCGCAAGCAGGACCCTGCTGGGTTCTAAGATCCGCTTGTCCACAACAATCCGCCGAAATCACTTTTAGACTGTGTCAATCGGTCGGCACTCAGTTACGGATCGGTTATCAGTTCGACACGTACGACGACAGAAATGAAGTAAGCGCGGAAGATAACCGTAGCACCCACGAGAACCCTAATTAGGCAATAGCTTACCGAATGAACCAACCTAATCCACCATTTTGCTCGCAGTCACGGTCGCGGTCTGGGAGCCGGAGTAGGCGTGGATGGATACACGGCCTGCTGTAGCGGTTGGGCTGGTAGCGGCAGGGGCGCTAGAGGGGGCGACAGCTTCTGGCACCAGTACGCATGTTCTCCCGCGGCCATGGCCCGCGCCCAAGACCTAGCTAGGTCCCGTTACCTAGCAGTATTCTGATGTGCTATATCCTGCACATCTAGATAAGCACCGCCGTCAACAGGGGGCAGACGATAACCGCCCACAATCGGTTGTCCTGGATGAGTTGAGTCCGGCAGCAGTTCCGCCCGCTAGCAGATAGACAGGCAGTGGAGGCGGCAGTCTGGGCACACTACAGCCGACGTGTCGGTAGGATACCTTGCAGGAAACATGACAGCTGCGATCTAGCCGCCCGGTTGATTTTGAAACCCGTTTGACTACAGAGAAACGGTTGCCTTTGAGTTGCGCCTAGCAGGTTCAACCGGAACACACGCAGCTTAAATCGTCCGTTACTACATCCCTGTTACTAGGGCTTCAACAATCGATGTATCCACCTCCCCCCCCTGCTACTATATCTATATCCGCAGCAGGTAGGCCTCGCGTACTTTCTTCCGTTTCGGAGGTTGGGAAGTGGAAGACGGGGGGTCGCGTCCTCGCCGGCGCCGGACCTTAAATGTGGTAGACCACCCAATAATTGTCGTAATATATTAGCGTTTCTGTTGTTGTTCCTGGCCTAGAACATCCGCCGTTCAGCCCTCACCAGCCTACGCCAGCAGCGCGCCAACGAGCCGTCCTTTTAGGCAGCAACCACACTTAAGGTCCGCCGTCTTAATAAATCAAGAGTGCTGCGCTACAGGCTCTTGGACTTTTCTTCATTCCTTCTTCACATCTTTGTTTCGTAGCAGTTGTGAGCTGTAGTGAGCTGGATGGAGATGGGCGTAGCGTGCACCTGGCGGTCTAATGGAACGGCGTTCGTTCAACAGCCCTTCATGCGTCGCACCTCGCCTGCGCCGTCCGCTATCTGAGTGTATGTGTGTGCCTTCTGGCCTGAGTGCAGCTTTTGAGCTGGTGCCGCTATTGCTACCTATTGCTTCAGCTGGGCCGATGCGAGGAGCACGTCTATCTGTCCCACCTGGCAAATGATTATATTTGCACAAAATGGCGCTGCGGTATGATTCCCCGCCGCCCAGGACAGCACATTACTTATCGGGGCATGTGTTGTATATGTGTAGTCGTGCGTGTGTACTCTCCGGTACAGCACGAAGATCATCGGTGCGCAGCGGACCTCCAAGTTCAGCAAAAAATGCAGTAAACGGGACTTGGGAATTACCCAAGGACGGCTGTAAAGGTTTGTATTCTGGGGTAGGTGGTGTGTGTGTGTGTGTGTGTGTGTGTGTGTGTGTGTGTGTGTGTGTCTGTGTGTGTGTGTGTGTCTGTGTGTGTGTGTGTGTGTGTGTGTGTGTCTGTGTGTGTGTGTGTGTTACATGGTTGGGGGTGCCTGACCCCATACCTGTAAGACTACCCATACGAGCCGAAGGCCCAAGGGCAATACTACAACGCCTAAACGCCACGGAGAACAGGAAACACCGCACGTCAGCCCAGCCTAGCGCCCAAAGGGGATAATTGAGTTGCGGTGAGCCCACATACGTTCCAACGTCCTCGCCAGACGTACTGGTTCCCATTTTTCATGGCCTCCAACGTGCTCTGTTGATGATCGAGGTAGGGTAGGGATGTGTAACGAACTGTCGTACACCTCGGAAGCAACCCTAGGCAACCAGTGGGGAAGCTAGGCCGAAACGCGAGGCAGCCCCCCAGCGCTGAATTCTGGCAGTTATATTAAATGTGCGTAGCTCTTGCATAGTGTGGAGCGCTGGCTGCAATGCTAATAGTCACGTCCCTTATCTAGGTCATAGCACCTTCGTGCCTGCCAAGTCGGCCCAGCCCAGGAGAACCTCGAAATTGTAAACAAATCAAAATTAATAGCCATGCAAAAAACGAAATATGCAATACCAGATAACATGGAAATGGAGCTCGGGTTGGGTTTCTGACATGCCTCGGCTCGTTCGCGCATTCGCGAGCCCATCCAACCACATCCAACTGTACGAAACACTGATCTTTATCTCCAAAAACGTCACCAGATGAGTATAAAACAGCAGTATAGCATATATGATTGTATCATTTGGGCTGGCAGCGAGTTTGCCGCCGCCGAGTTGTCTGCTCTGCCGAATCGTCTGCTGCTTTTCTGCTCTCCTCTACCTTCAACTTCAAGCTTCTGGGCGCTTGGTAAGATATCTTGAATGATGTAGCTAGTGCTTGCTATCTGTTTCCTTCATTGTGCCGCCGCTTTTGCTCATGATGTGTGGTACTAAATCCCTTGCCTGGCTTTTCCTTTGCTGTGTGCCGCAGCATGCATCAAGCACTCTTAATGAACGTTCATGTACAGATTAAACTGAAAAACCGAGCTTTGAGCTTTAGGAACGAGAGCTCGAGACCGGTACACTTTGGCCGTTTCGCACGCACCGCTCGAGTTCTCGCTGAGATCACAGAATTGTCCGCAAGCCAGGATGAACAGCTAGTGTTCATCCTATTATAACTCTGTACCATTTGGTTGGCCTCTGTTCAGTCAGCAGCCGTCATACATGCTTTTCACTTCTGCGAACCACGAGGCAGTCGCGAGCACGTCGCCCTTAAACACTTCATCTCAACGGCAATCTCTGCGCCTTTACCACACCTAACATTCATAAACACCATTTTTCATACCCTTCTGGCGATCCTTCACCGGCCGTCCTTATTAAAGTGCATCCGCCCTCGCTCTGAATGCTGTCGCTATAAGCGTCCAAGAGTCTGCTGTTCAAGCGGCTGTTGCCTGGCGCTCGTGTCTCAGCAGTCAACACCATGAACGGGAACAACGAAGGTGGCGGTAGCGGCAGTGGTGCTCGTTGGCCGCTGCACCTGAGGGGATACCCGGTGGCCCAGCCAACGCCGGCGGACTACCAAGACCGCCACCGCGCCAACCGCAACTACATCCAGCACCCGCCCCCCCCTCAGCCGGAACCCGACCTGCTGCCAGGACAGGACGCCCGTCCTCTCCCGTGGCCACTTCTGCCTCCTTACCAGGCCGACCCGGAGATCCAGCCCGGAAGGCTCGTCACTACGGGTGCTTTTGGCGTCGCCATTCCCCTCCAGGAGCTGCCCTTGCAGGAGCTGCCCTTGCAGGAGCTGCCACGTCTGCCCTACCTGCAGCCCCGCCACGGCCCGATGCCGCCGCCGCCTGAACCCGCTGCCAATGCCTTCCATCCGATGGAGCTGTGGGGTCCGGTACCGGCGGTACTGCACCGGGTGCCACCGCCGCTGCCACCGCATATGGCGGCAGCGGTGGTGCCGGCGGCGGTAGCTGCCGTGGCGCATGTGCGTGTGCCGGAGCACAACGGCGCTATGCGCGTCTCAAGCCGTAACGATCGTTCGTCAAGCGGCAGCAGCCAATCGTCGACGGAGCACGAGGCCTTCCTCGGCAACAGTGAGGCCACCGAAGGGCGACTGGGTGGTGCGGGCGGAAGCAATGGCCGCACGCGGGCCTCTCGCTATAAGGGTATCGAGTGGAACCCCCGCACCGGCAAGTAAGTACCCCCTGGCTTTCGGGGGGCTGTGGCGGACAGGGTGTGAATGCACCTGGGAATGCAGTCAATCCCCCTTGGGTGGGTGGGTGGGTGGATGGATGGATGGGTGCATAGAGGAGTCTATATTCGCAGTGTAACGCAAGGTGTAACACACACACACACACACACACCCCACGCACACACAACACACAACACACACACATATATATACACAGACACAGACACGCACGTACGTCAGGCCCGGTCAGGTACTTGTAACGTTCACAGACAGATGCACACACAGATGCACACACACACATACGCACACATACACACACATACACACATACGCACACATACACACACATACGCACACATACACACACATACGCACACATATACACACATATACACACATATACATACGCAAATTACATCGTTTTACAGTCGTTTACCTCAACCTTCATAGCTTTGTCCCGTCACGAACCATAACGGCGTCTGCACCTCGAGCCATACCGTTTTTAGTAAGTCATGTACGAACATGCAATGGCAGTAGCAGTAGCAGCTAGTAAACAACACGCAGCTGTGCATGTAACGGCAGGACCTCTCTCCAGTTCCTCCAACATGGCATTTTCCCTGATCTGCAGTACATGTGCCGTACATTTGCCGTACTGACTCCTCCAGGTGGGACGTGTACCTCCAGATTCCGAAGGGAGGTCGGAAGTAGGGAGTCGCTGAAGAGGGGAAGAACCCACGGCGGAGAGAGCACAACGCGAGGGAGGGGCTTTCCTGGCTGCCGCAGGAGTCGGCGCCCGGACATCAGTAGCGTAGCTTAGGTGCCGTCGATGTGCTATCTTAGATATGAGATGATGAAGTGGTGTTTGGCCGCAATAGCGCAACTGGTTGCGTAGTGGGTGCCCGGGCAGCGAAGGAGGTAGTTGGGGGCACTTGCTGCACACACAACGCCAGCGTTACATTTTGCGGAGGTGTGAAATAATGGGGGCTGCGGTGTGAGGTGTGCGATGTGTGCAACAGGGCTGGCTGGCGGCTCGTTGGCGCGCGCTGCAGCGGCAACAACAGCAGCTTTGGTTATTTGAACCACTACCTGAGGGATTCGATAGAAGGAGATGTGGTTTAGAGCGGTTCATCGTTCTTGTAGTTCGTGGCAGTAAGCGCCACGGAGAAATCGTACTGTGTGGTGACGGCAGCCCCTTGGTGGGGGGGGGCCTAGGCCCACGGGTTTGACTCTAGGAGGGGTTGTCCCTGGCTGGGCGAGGTCCTTCATTATGTACCGGTGTGTGGGGGGCCGTATTTCCGACGTAACGGAGATAGAAGCGGCTGCTGCTGCTGTCGGGACAAGTAGGGTCAGAACCCCCTCCTAGCGATGTGAAGTGTTTAGGCTCGACTTTACGGATGTGGGGCAGTTGAGTTGAGTATTTAGGTATGTACGTATGCATGCATGTGTGTGTGTGCTCTGGCTGGGCTAGAGTCCTCCGACCCCGCAGGGTTCCCAGCCAGGTCACATCATCGAGTGGCCTTCGGGACTCAAGCAGGTCGGGCGTCTTGGCTGTGCTGGACATTGGCTAGCAGGCAGCGTGCTGTGGCCGCGACAAGTCAAAAGTCGTGGTCTTCCCTTCCTTTGGTTAATTTCTTTCCGTTGCCCCAGTTCTGCTGCAAGAATAATGGGTTTTCGAAAAAATGGATAAATCTGTAGGCTGGAAAATAATACATAGATCTGTAATAATGAATAAATCTGTTGTAAGCTGAATTTGGACCATTGGGCGTCATTTTCCTAGCCGCAGAAGAATAATGCAGTATCAAAACTTTTCAGACCAAACCACTCTCGAGTAGCAGCAGACATTCCTCTCACCATGTATGCCCCGTCTGTACGGCGAACCACCACAAAACCCACCTCACACAACTTCCTGCCATGTACATCAATTATCCCTCCATCCCCGACCCAATCCAGATGTTGCACCGCAGTCATGGATTCGATCCATCAGGAGTCTGAGATATCGCGGACGGCACCACCTCCACCACCACGCAACACAACACCACGCTGTCAGGGCACTTGCTTCGCACCAAGTCTCCGGCCCGCACGCCTCATGCCAGCACACTCAGGCCGCGCACACCCATTCACAAGGTGCCAACGATCAACGACGGGAAAGAAGACGGGGAACTCCTCATCAGCTCGACTGCACATTGCTGACCCCGAAAGTGTATGGAAGGGTTTTTTTTCCATGCATGCGCTCCATGCACGGCTGGCACACCCGGAATTCGTTCACAAGCAGCAGCTTTTACGCTTGGTTCAACTTTCCGATAATCTCCACAGTCCGTCAGTTGATCAGTCAGTAATTCATTACTGTAATCCGTCTGTTCGTTTGTTGTCATTCCTCAGGGTAAAGTAATTGAAACACATGTACGCCGTGCATTTCAATATATTTCATATACATATATAGGCCTTTTACAAGTTCAGAAGTTCCGCACGAATGCAGAGGTGTCCGTATACATGCTCCGTGGCCCCCGGCCTTTGACGGACACCTCCGCATTCGTGCGGAACTTTTCTAAACTTGTAAAAACCCTACGCCGTGAGCCCCAAAACCGAAACCGCCCTCACCCGCCCCTGCCTGCGGTCGCCTTTGCTCCCCCCAACCCACCCCAGACCTTGCTTCCTTACACGGGCAGTCCAATTCTTACCGCATGGGCCACCATGACGGCCGCCGGGAACCCGACCTCGCGCACGCTCCCAAGCCTACATATACCCAAACATACACCCAGAGGAGGCATCCTCAGCAGTAATGAAATAATCACCCGCACCCATATCACGCACGCACATACGCGCGCACATTCGCAGGAGGCATACATACATACACACACGCACGCGCACACACACACCCATCCATCCATCCATCCATCCATCCATCCATATCTACCAGGCACCGTCCAGGCGCATGCCGGTCTCCTGCACGGGGCCGCCAACCAAGCACGTGTAACACCTCCCCCCCTCGTCTTCCGTCTCTACATGCAGCGCACGTTATCATGAATATGGAGGAAGCCGCGCGGCCGACTGCCAGCGGCCAACCAAGTCCCCCTAGAGGCCAACTCAACCACCTAGCCCGGCCCTACGCCCAACCAGCTTATCAGACAAGACATACTCATGGACAGAATCCACCCCGCCCGCTTCCACACCCCGAACACAGCGTCACAACTGCGCGTTGTCCCTGTTCGATACCTGCCGCCGCCGCCGCAATTAAACATTAAACCGACTTGACTCCCACAACCCCCTCCACTCCTCCAAAGGTCCTAAATGAAGACCGACTCGGGTGTCGGTATGCCTTTAAGCTGTGGCGGCGGCCGCAGCCATGAGACCTTGCCGTACACTGCCATCATGCGTGGATCGACCCGTGGGTCATATGTGCCGCGCATCATGCCGCGCTTGGCCTTGCCAAACAGCAACGTGAGCTTGCGGTACAGCGCGTTCGGCGGCAACTTGGCCTTGAACTTATTCACGTCAGACGCCTCCCGGGCCACGAGCTTGCGGACTTCCGTGTCGCCGTGCGGGTTATGGACGAGCCAGGCGTTGGGATGGATCCAAAACGTGTAGTTGTAGTAGTTGAGCGAAGCGATCAGGACAATCTTATTCATGCCGTACCCACGAAAGTCAACGTCGTACCATGGCATGACCTCGTCACATGTTATAAACCAGGGCTCGTAGAATCGCTTGTACGACACCTGCGGCAGGCGGCCGCGACGCGGAAGGCTTTTTAAAGGCGCCAGAAGGAGGACGAAGAGGCGGAGGAGGAGGCGCAGTGAGGCCATCACGGAAGCATAGCGGCGGAGAGGAGGGATCAAGGACAGCGGGAGCTGTAGCCGTTGCCACAGCCGTTTCGGCGGTACGACTACCGCGAAAAGGCTAAGCGACAGCAACAGCAGCAAACCTTCCGCGCCTCAAAACCCCCCCTCCCCTGCAGGCTTCCGAGCCTCCTTCCCACACACAGCTCTCCCCCTCCTTCCCCCTCCCCCTCCCCCTCCCCCTCCCTCGTCCGAGCCCGGCCGGCCCCGCACCGGGTACGGCTGCGACTCCGTGAACCAGCGCACGTAGTCCGTAGGTGTGTGACCTCGTGGAAATACCCTCAGCTTGAACTGAATGGCCTCCTTGTTGCGGCCGTGCATGGACGCCAGCTCCGACTTAGTGACTGAAATGCGAGAGCAGCAGCGGCAGCAGGAGGAGGAGGAGGTCAGGGCGGACCAGCGGCCAGGAGGGGTTTGACAAAGAGTTGAATGGACGGTGAGGTGAATGGGCGGTGAGGTGAATGCAGCAGCGAACCCGAAGGTAGCCCCGAAGGGAATCCCACTCATTTCCAACACATACACACATTACATACATACACGTATACAGCCACATACACACACACGGGTGCCGGTGTCAAGGGGGGAGGGCACGGGGGACGTGACATGACCGGATGCATCTGCACATGAGTGACACTGCCGAGCTCACACACACAAATATACATACATAAACACATACACACCTTGGGTTATCTTCAAGGCCATCCCCCGGCCCTTGTCCCCCGGACGGGTGGGCTCAAAGGCCGGCAGCACTGTGGCCCGCCGCTCCGCACACAGGCTCTCGTAGTGGGCAATTCTGTCCGACACACACACATACACACACACACACACACACACACACAGAGACCGGGGGCAATGGGGATTCGGGGGTACGTCAGTCGGTCAGTCGGAGAGTAATTCATTCATTTCCCTCGTCCCAAATGAGCTCAAAAATTACTGTGTAGTACATGTGGCCGTATTCACCAACCTTTGCGGCTTCATGCGACCGTTGTTTTCCTCAGGACGCGGGAAACCCGCACGTGCACGTGTGTGTGCCACGTGCGCCGCGTTTGATGCAGTCCGTGTTTCCTTCCGACACATACATACATACATACGTAACTACAGGTCATTCTCGCCTGCAGCCTCGCCCTGCCCCAACCCAGTGCAGCCCAGGCCGCCTTGCCCGTTAGCCCACCTGCCCTCCCTGGCCATCTCCTCCGATAACGTACGACTGACGTACATGTCCACATCAATCATGGCTAGCAGCCGGGTCCGTACCTGAGAGCAGGGGGAAGGAGGGGGGAGGAGTAATAACACACGTCGTACATGGGACACCACCATGCGCACGGTCATGTGTATGATGTATACGGAGGTTCTCCCCCTCGCACGACCCCTTGAAATCGCCTCTAAGCGGGATTCCATGTCGATTCGGGTCTTACAGAGCCAAACGGAATCGGTTCGATACTCGGCCCCGGTTATTTCTGTTCAATTCTGTTGGGTTCGGTAGTGTGGTGGCCGGTCTCGAGGGCTGACATGCAGTGGACCCCCTCCGGGTCACAGACGGCGCCGGACAACCTTGGCAGGATTCCGAGCCGGCTGTCCAGCCCTCGACCCCGCGCTCAGACCCACACACCCCAGCCGAGCCCCACCCCCACCCCCACCTCCAGTCTACCTGCATGCGGGCATAGTTCCGCAGGTAGTTGACTGGATAGAGCAGCTTGGACTGATCCGAGTCGTACAGCTCGTAAAACAGCATCAGATCCAGCTGACACATGTCCGGGCGAGAGTCCACCCTGCGCGTGGGTTTCGGAGCCTCTTGCACATCTGTATATGCACACATCCATGTGTGCAGACGTATGTATATATGTGTGTACTACAATATTGGAGGTGCGTCGATACTCATGCGGACGACCACCACCACCACCACCCCCAACCCGCCGCCCGACACTAGCCATGTGTGGGGCGCAAGGGCTCCCCCTTGCCTGCTGCATAAACGCCATGGCGCGAAGAGGACCGCGCAGTGGACCTCGCATACAGGTGAGGTGAGTCGACAAGGAAAGGAAAAGGAAAGGAAAAGGAAAGAAATCTAGGGAATCTGATACACACACACGAGAGCCACCGCAGAGCAACAAACATATGGGTGGCAATCAATCAACAAGTGTCGGAAATCGACATGGACATCGACATCGGCATCCGAGTGGGCGTTAAACAACAATCACTTTTCGGTGGCTGGCGGACCAAACTCTCAATCAAGAGGTGCGCCTCTCCCTTCTAAACGAATACGCAATTCCTTCTTTCGACTCCCCCATTTTAAACGCCGCCCTCCTCGACCCCACCTGTCGTGAAAGGACTGCACCAGCTGTACGGCTTCCTGCAGCGCCGCTGCATTGGGTGCGGACAGCTGGTCCACCACCACCCGGGATGTGGCCGCCGCCGCCTGCTCATCGCCACCGCCAGCAGGGCCCCCTGTATTGAGCCTCTGACGGTGGCTGGGCACGTCGGGCTGCTGCACCAGCGCCACAAAGACGGCGGCGCTGAGGGGCCCGGTGAACGTGGTGCACATGTTGAAGAGCGTGGGCAGGCGGTTGATCGTGAGCTGCGTGAAGACGGTGAACTGGAACCGGGGCTCCTTTGACGACCAGAGAATGCGCGCCAGTTTAAGGCTGTGAGAGGGGCAGGACAGCGAGGATGTGGGGAAGGGGGGTGGAAAGGGGACTTGAGGGATAGGGCTCGTGTGCGGTCAGGAAGGGCGTTGACCGCCTGGCGGCGAGTTGGTTTTCTCTCAGTCGAGTGACAGGGGGTGTACGGCTGTGGCCAAGTTCATTTTGCCACAGCTCCTGGATGGTAGTTGAGCATTATAGAGGCCAGCGCTGTGCTCAGGTGGTGTTTGGTGCTTTGGGAGTACGCACTTCGAAAGGGTGTCATTCAAGATGGCGTCGTTCCAGCTAGTCAGCGCTGGCTGGTAGCCCGTGTTAATAGCATCCATGAGCTCCTGCGCCTTCGGATCATCCTTGGCAGCTGAGCAAGAAATATGCCAGCCGTTCGCCGCAACCCAGAGCAACAGCAGCAGACGCGTTCCTTGCGCACGGTCACAGCCCATCGCGGCAGTCTATTTCCAGCGCATGTTGTGTGTGCAAGTCTTAAGCTTTGGCTGGGTTTGCAAGGATACTTTCAGGGCACCAATGGCACCTCATCAACAGCCAAAAGGCGTCAAACGCACGCCACGTGATATTTATTGCACGCTACATGAGACGATATGATACAACATTAGATGGAAAATGTCGGAGTTCCGTGGGGACACGAACACTATACGGCAATAAACCAATTGAGGGAGCGCAACCCAGTTTAAAGCCTCTAAGGGATTCATCCTTCCGAAACTTATTGTGGCCACGTCGTAATTTTGCTTGCAACCCTGTCTCTCCTTGATGCGAACATCCGTTAGTCAGCGTGACCGTTTTCGTAGTACCGAAGACTTCAGAGTCAACGGTATGCAACTTCTTCTGTAAGGAAGAAATTTTGCTTATCATTCATCCGTTTAGATCTATTTCACGAATTGCCGAATGGTTATAGTTGGTGCTACATACTAACTGTCGGGCGATGTGAAGCAATTTTGGCACAGTTGTCTCTAGAGGGCGGAGTATCTATTCGGAAATGACTGAAGCTGACGTTTTGCACTGCAAGCTCATCACCTTCAGCCAACGAACTTACCGAGTGCAGGGAAGCTCAGCGTCAACTCTCCCCCACCAGCCAGATCAGGGCGAGCATGCAGCTGGACCAGGATGGCATCAAGATGACGAGGATGCGGATTTCATGACAGAAGCTCGTGCTGCCGACATGATCGACGAATCGCTCATACAGCAGGATGGCAACCATTATGTCGCCAAGCTGTCCTGTGATCCTGAGGTCCGTTTCAAACATGCACTAAACGCCCACCACGCCCTTTCCTTCCTTGCTGTCGTACACACCTATCTATCCCCCACGCACATCCCCCATAAGCTCCAAACCAAACCACCGGACGGCCAGCTTCATTTCTTTTCCACCACGACCTCCCTTCCAAACCACACGAATCTCAGCCGTCGACACTCGCGCATTACAACTCTTCCCAGCCTTACCTCCCCGTCCCCCACCATACCACCACCACCGCATCACGCAGGTCTACCCGTTCATCATCGGACGCGAGGGCCGAACCCGCAAGCAGATCGAGGCGGAGACGGGCGCACAGCTGATCATCCCACGGAAGGTCGCGGCGCCAGCCGCCGCAGCCGCTGTCGGCGGCGGCGGCGGCGGCGACATCGTCATTCGCGCCCCCACTCGGGCTGCTGTGTCCAGTGGCTACGTTCGGACCCAGCTGGCTGTTCACAATGCGGTGGCAGGCAGGTGGGGGCCCTATGGGGGGGGAATGGAGGGCGGGTGGATGGCGGGCTCGGAGACATGTGTGTTTTGTTTTCGCTCGACGATCTGCGTACCGCGATGAGGAAAATAGCGATGAGGGATGGTACACGGATAACTTTACCATGTTTGTACGTGTGTGTTTTAGGGGAAGGGAAAAGGAGGGAACCGAAGCGAGCTCCCCGAATTGCCCAGCGACGTGTTGGGATTTTGCAAAGGAACCGTAAACGTAGCTGTTTGAATTTTTCAGGTCGATGTTTTTGATTATTGATTAGAAGGGTGATGTGATGTCAAGAGCCCGTAGAAGGAAGCGGAGGCGCTGTAGTGGCGGAGGGCGACTAGGCGTGTGTGGTGGGGATGGGCGGCTAGACCTGCTGATTACATTACGGACCACGAGGGCACCTCCCCTCGTAAGGTCCCAACCAGGTAGACTGGGTGTGTTCGTGTGTGTTTTGGTGGGAGGGAAAGGAGGAGGGGTTAAGGGATCCCCCTCAACTACCGCGCTTGCCAGGAGACGCACTTCCTGCAGCACTACGGCTGACCTCGCGTGGCTGCAGCTTGGATTGCCTTTGCCTTGCCGAGCTGAGCTGAGCTGAGCTGAGCTGCGACATCCCCCCCCCGCCCGCCGCCGTTTAATTAGCGCATTTCCACAAATCCCCGCGCTCACGCCGGACCCCCCCCCTGTCACGTCGCGCCGTTCCGGGCAGGCTGCTGGAATACAACTACTTCATCTCGTTGCCTCTGGCTTCACCTGCCGCTGTCAGGCAGTTTGAGGCGTTCCGTCGTGCGGTGCTATCCGACCCGCGGGTCGCTGCCCCCGGTTCGGGTCTGGACGAGAGCATCTTCATGCGGCCTCAGCACCTGCACCTGACGGTGGTGATGCTCAAGCTGTACAGCGACCAAAAGCGACATGAGGCCCAGCAGGTGGCTTGGGGGCCCCAACGGGGGGCGGCTGGGGGGGGGTCATTACTGGGTAGGTAAAGTTCTAACAAAGAGACTGGGGAGAGAAGACAGCGCACGGGGTGTGCGTGCTGTGGTGATGGTGCTGCTGTGGTGGTGATAGTGGGGCCCCGGCCTTACCGCCAACCCACAACACCCCCCTCAGACACACACACTGAGAGAGCGATTATATGTATGTATGTATGCAGATGGACGTGTCGTTGTGGGCCGTTGTGTTGCTGGTGGCGGGATGATGGCCAAACGGGGAACAGGAGGGAGCGAGGGAGGAAGAGATCTCCTGGAAACGGATACGTCGCATGTCGTGTGTTTGCTTCTGTTCGTCATGTTCGTCACGTTGGAGTTTACGCCCTTTTTCACACTATGTATGTGTGTTTGATGTCCGTGTGTGCGTGTTTTTTCGCATGCCCCGCATGGCCCTCAAATACACACACAGAGCTCCCGCCGTGTCGTCCCTGTCAACCCCCCGTTTCCCCCCCCCCCCCCCCCCCTTCCNCTCCTTC